AGATCAAGTCACAGTTCCACCAGTAGTATATCAGAATGCTTGTCTTCCCACAGCCCCTCCAACATCTGTCATTTTTGTCTTTTGTCATTTTTATCAAACTGACAGGTATAAGTCGAAATCTCAGAGCTCATTTAATTTATTTGTTGTTGTTCAGTTGTTTCATTCATTTCTGACTCTTTGTGACCCTGTTTGGGATTTTCTTGGCAAAGCTCCTGGTATGGTTTGCCATTTCCTTCTCCAGCTCATTTTACACGTGAGGAAACTAAGGTTAAGTGACTGTGTGACTACGGTCACACAGCTAGTAAGTGTCTAATGCTGGATTTGAACTCAGATCTTCCTGACTCCTGGCCTGGTGCTCGGTCCACTGCCTCACCTACTTGCCCTATTTAATTTATACTTCTTTTATTTTCATTGATTTGGAGTATTCTTTCATATGGTTTTGATAGTTTGCATTTCTTCTTTGACAACTACTTGTTCCATCCTTTGACCAGTAACCTACGGGAAATGGCTCTTGTTTTTGTGTTTGTAACAATTCCCTACCTACAGAATTCAATATATTCAACAATTTTACCAGGCAATTTACATCAATGAATGTGATGCCAAACTCCAAACTGAATGAACAAATGATTTGGCAGACATGTTTAAATACAGAGTATCTCAAATAATATGTCCTGTAGGCATCTCAAATTCAACATGTTCAGAACATAGCTCTATTCATTCTTTTCAAACCTTCCCCTCTTTCCAATATTCTTACTGTTGTCAGCGGGCACCACAGTCACCAAGACTTACAACCTAGGAGCTTGCCTTTATAGGCCTTGAGGTGCTACAGTAGAAAGGTCAGTTACTATTAAGCTCAAATCTGACCTCAAACACAAACTAGTTGTGTGACCCTGGCCAAACCCCTTAACCTCTCTTTGCCTTAGTTTCATCATCTGTAAAATGGGAATAATATTATCTGTTAAGGTTGTTGTGAGGATCAAACAAGATGATATTTGTAAAGTGCTCTGCAAACCTTAAAGTAATGGCAATCTATCAATCAACTAACAAACATTAGTTAAGAATATGCTTTCTGCACAGTATTATGCTAGGTGTTGGGGATACAAGGGCAAAACAAACTTCTGTTATAGAAGAAGATGAGATAGAGAAATTATATGAAAAGTAGGACAAGATTCTCTAATTCAAATCAACATATATAGATGCTTGGTGACTATTAATATAAGTCACAGGAGACACGGTAAATAATTTGTTGAAAAATATAGTTCCTCATTAAGAAATGAAATAAGCCAAGGGTTGTAGATTAGATTGATAAAGCATTTGTAAGCATTTTTATGCACCAGACACTACTGGTGATACAAATGCAAGCAAGCAAGATAGTGTCTGTCCTCAAAGAGCTCACATTCTAATAGAGGAAGACAGCTCCTCTATTATTAAACTACTCAGAAACCTTCCACAAGGTTTTTAAAATGTATATACTTTTATTTTATTTTAAGAGTCAGAGGCTTTGGAAGTGATAAACAGCAGCAAACACATATCCAAATGAAATTGACTACATTTTGGCAGACAGGAAACACCTATTTCTTACAGTCTTCCTCTCCTTCCCAAACAACGCCCCTATACTTGAGGACTTTGAGACATATGTCAATATCCTCTCAAAGACCCTGGCTCCCGCTTCATCAGTTTGCTCAACTTCCATAACTCTCACCTCACCTTTACTTCAATTGCACCCAGGGATGGTCACACCTTTGATCTTTCTCACACCCACTTCCATGATCAAATTCCTCTAACTGATTATGAACTCATACGATCCTAGATTCAGAGCTGGAAGAGACCTTAGAGGCCTTTCTAGCTTTCTATTCCTTCCTGTGACTCACTTTCCCTATGCCTATTCTTTGTCCTTACCATATATTCCAGTCCCTTCATTCCTCAGTGGTCTTGAAGGCCATCACTCCCGACTTGGCTTCACTTTTCTATGTTTCCAAACGTTATTCTACATCTAACCAGGATAACTTTACATTGTCAAATTCCTTGTGTCCTCGTCCTATCATTGCTCACGCCTTGTCAAAAACCCTGCTTTGCATTACCTCTGCCATTTTCTTCCTGTGCTCTAATTCACATGCTACCCAATGGAGATGCAGCAACTCCTGCAAATATGCTGACTGGGTCCACTACAAATTTATGTTATCTAATATTTACTGGGCCCTTACTGCCTCAAGGTAGTCCTCATTATTCTTCCTTAATTGGCTTCTACCACATTCTCCTCTGAAGCTAATTCAAATCTCTTCTCTCTTGAAGCCTCACCCAAACTACTCCCTTATCCTCAGCAGAGGTTATTGACTCATATTTTCCTGGAAAAAACAGAAGTCATTTTGGATAGTGCTATCTTCTCTTCTCTACTCAATAACCCTTGACACTATCCTCCAATCTCTCCTTTACTCTAGTCTCTGATGAAGAGGTTGCCAATTCCTTTATTTATACCCTCGATTCCAGTCCTCTCTGGAAGACTGCTCCCCAAATCATTCTCCCCCTTTCTATAATTTTTAATTTTCCCCTATTTTCTGGCTCCTTCCCTACTGCCCTCAAACATGGTCAGGTCTTCCCCATCATTAAAAAAAAAAACAACAAAAAACCCTTCATTAACTAGATTATATCCTCAAACTATTGTTTTATATCTTTCTTCCTTTTCATAGCCAAACTTGTGGGGAAAAAAAAAGTTGTTTATATTCCTTTCCTCTACTTCCTCTTCTTCTATTCGTTTCTCAACCCTTTATAATCTGGATTTTGACTCTTAAGACCCACATGAAACTGCTTTCTCTAAAAGTTATCAGTAATCTCTGAACTGCCAGGCTCAATGACTTTTTCCCAGTCCTCATCCTTCTTGACCTTTCTGAGACACCTGACACTATATTGACCATCTTCTTTTCTTAAATACCCTTTCCTCTCTATTTTCCTGAATTTCTTTCTCTGTTTTCTTCCAAACTATACCTGTTTGACTGCTCTTTCCCAGTCTCTTTTGCTGGATCATCATCTATGTCCCACCCCTTAACCACGAATGCAGCCCAATTCTCACTCCTAGGTAAATGTGCTCTGTTGCCTCTCTACATGGTTTTTCAATAATCTCATCAACTCTCTTGGGTACACTTATCATCTCCAGCCAGATGATTTCCAAATCAATAGATCTGGTCCTAATGTCTCACCCAGACTCTAATCCTACATCACCAACTGCCAATTGGACATTTCCAACTGTCCTGTAGGCATCTCAAACCCAACATATTCTTAGCAGAACTTGTCTTTCCCCCTAAACCCACTGCTCTTATTTTCCCTAAATCTGTTGAGGTTACCACCATCCTTCCAATAACCCAGGTTTACAACCTTGGAATCAATCTTCCTTGACTTGTCCTTTCTTGTTCTCACTTCGTCACCCCCATCCAATCTGTGGCCAATTCTTGCAATTGTACTTGGACAACATCTCTCTGCTTCTCTTGGTCACATAGACACTGCCCTAGTACATGGTCTCCATCCAAATCTCTGCCCTCTCCAATCCATCCTTCTCACAGCTTCCAAAGTGATATTCATTAAACATTTCCCTGCTTCAAAAGCTCCAGTGGCTTCCTATTGCTCCTGGATCAAGTACAAAATCCTATGGCCTTTAAAGTTCTTCACACTTTAGTTCCCTCCTACCTTTGCAGACTTATTATACATACTACTATTTACACTCTCTTTGCAGACTTAGCACAGTGCCTCTTACAAAGCAGGCATTAAAAAATGCTAGTTGACTGAGTGACCTTTCTCATCACCACTCCTGTTTTCCCTAACTTCATTCAAATCCCAGCTAAAGCTCTATCATGGGCAACTAGGTGGTGCAGTGAATAGAGTGCTAGGCCTGGAGTCAGGAAGACCTGAGTTCAAATCCCGCCTTTAAACACTTTATCATTTAACCCTGTTTGCCTCAGATTCCCCACTGTAAAATGAGCTGGAGAAGGAAATGGCAAATTACTCTAGTATCTTTGCCAGGCAAACCCTAAATGGGGTCAGGAAATGACTGAACAAAACAAGTTCTTCTTTCTGAAAGAAGTCTTTCTCAGTCCTCCTTAATCTTAGTGCCTTTCCTCTGAGACTAATTTATTCTGTACATATCTTGTTTGTACACAACTGTTTGCATGTGGTCTTCCTCATTAGATTGTGAGCTCCTTGAGGGCAGGCATTGTTTGATTTTTTTTTTTGCTTTCTTTGTATCCCCAGGGCTTAGCACAGTGTCTGGTACATAGCAGGCCCTGAAAAGGCTAGTTGACTGACCACTTGCTGTTACTCTTACATGACAATCTACCTCCTGCCTCAGGCTTTTGCACAAGCTGTCCCATGCCTGGGGTTCACTCCTTCCTCACCTCTGCCTTGTGAATCCCTGGCTTCCTTTAGAGCTCAGCTCACGAGCGTCCTTTTGCAGGAAGCCTACGCCCATCCCCCCAGATTACTTTCTTAGTTTGTATCCATTGTAAGACTAATTCTCTACAAAATATGTTATTTCCCCATGAACAGAATGTCAAGTCCCTGGTTTCATTTTTGTCTCTCCCTCCTGCGGCACACGTAGTAGGTGCTCATTAAATGAATGTATGAATGAATGGTCGTTTGCACTGATGGTTACTGCTAGATTTCTAATTTTTTTTTTTAAAACGACTGCTGGATGCTCCTACAGACAGACAGACAGACAGAGAGACAGAGAGACAGACAGACAGAGAGACAGAGAGACAGACAGAGAGACAGACAGACAGACAGACAGACAGACAGACAGACAGACAGACAGACAGACAGACAGACAGACAGACAGAAGGGGAGAAGGTGGACGCGACCGCAGGGGCGGCGAAGGAATCAGCCGGGGCCCGGCCGCAAACGAAGGGAAAGAGGCGGAGGGGGAGGAGCGCCGGGAGCCGGGTTAGGGTTAGGGGGCGGAGGATCCCGCTTCCCGGCAGCAGAGGGCGCCTCTCGCTCCCGTGTCCAGCCTGTCGGGGCTGGGGAGAGCAGAGGGAGCGAGAGCACCGGTGGCTCCTGCCACGTATTCCTCCCGGCCGCGGCGGCGAGGCAGGAAGCCGAGGTGAGCGTGGGGCTGGCGGCGGCGCCCCGGACCGACCCTTCGGCGGAGCCGGAGCCGCGGGCGAGGGGCGCGCGGCTGGCGCTGGCCCGGGACCTCCTCCTCCCCGGCCCCCTGCCCCCTACCCTCCGCGAGCCGCGCTTGCCACCCCCGGGCAGTTCCTGAGCCGCCGGCAGGGCTGCCCAGCGGGCTGAACTCCGAGCCCCGGGAAGGAAGGAAGGAAGGGGCCGACGGAGGACGCGTCCCCGCCCGTCCCGGCTCAGGAAGTGCGGCCGCGGCCGCCCGACAGCAAGCGGGAAGCGGGCAGGGGAGCCGGAGCCGGAGCCGGCGCCGGCGCCGGAGCGCGGCGTGGGGAGGCGGGGGAAAGTTGGGGCGGAGTGGGAGCCCCGAGCGGGCCGGGACTGGGGGCAGGGGAGGGCGAAGGTAGGACCGGAGTGGGGTGGGCTGGGCATCGCCGGAGTTTGGGGAGGGGGCCACCTTTGGGCCGGGCTGGGGAGGTTGGGAGCCGGGAGCCTCTGGGAGCGTCCGCGGGGTCCGGCCGGTGCAGGAGGAGTCAGGCTGCAAGTTTGGGTCCTGGGGACGAGTGGGAGGGTCAGCCCCTCGTGGCCGCGCCGGCTCAGGCTGACTCCAGGAAGTGACCTCTGGCCGGGCTGAGGGCCGAGAGATCTGCGAAGGGCAGGTGGGTGGGAGGGAGAGCGGACCTTAGCCTCCACTTTCTCCCTGCCCACGAGCCTCTCTGCTGCTGTCTGGTGGCAAGTTCCATCCCAGTCTCTGAGAGGGTGGCAGGGCTAGGGCTGGGGTTGGGGTTGTCTGCAGACCCCCGGCACTCTCCCCGAAAAAGTGCCCGGGCCGAGCTGGGTCAGGATACCTGGAGAGGGAGGAAGCCACGTTAGTCGATGAGAGCGGGCCTCGAAGCAAACTAGGGGGTTGGGGGGTTAACAGTTTGTGGCCACCTGTATTTTTCGCTGTTACCTCGCTGCCAAGCCTCCCGTGGTGCTTCATCCACAGCCTACAATACTTGATCCTTCGGGAAGTTTGAACCGATTTGAATAGGTAAGACTTTCAGGAAGGCTCAGAGTTTAATAGGATTAGATTGCTTGAAAATCGACTCATCTTTCACTTTTTCTACCTCGTCCCTCTTGTCTTTTCCGTGTTGTGGGTAACCTGGACATCCTGGGTTAAAATATTATTTTAATGAAATTTCCCCTTTACACATTGGTAACTTCTCTAGCCCCAGAGTTCCATTCTAGTGTGAGGGTCATCGTGGGAGTAAGTTGCAGCTCTATTCTTTTATCTTCTTATCTTTTATCAGGTTATTTCAGCAACAAGTGGTTCTGAGGGTTTGGATTCCATCAACTTATTTCATACCTTAAGACAGTGGAGGTGAAAGGTGCTGGCTTTTTTCAGTGTGCTGGGTAGAGTAATGGAGACTTAGATTCAACTTTAAATCTGCGTTCTGTCATTAGGCACTTAGTTGTCTCCCCCATTAGATGGTGAGCTCTTTGAGTGAAAAGACCTTTTTTTTAAACTTTTTGTCTCCCCAGCACTTAGCACAGTGCCTGGTATGCAAGCGCCTAATGGCTCTTCATAAATGATTATTAACTGACTACTTAGTTTCCTTATCTGTAAAATGACAGAAAATCTCTGGGGTCTCTTCCAACTTCAAAATCATGTCATCCTGCTGAGGGCTAGAATGGGTTCCTAAGAGAAGCTCTGCAATCTTCTTCCTTGGAGAACTTTTAAAAATGAGACTAGATCAATCGTGCCAATTAAAATCTTGGGCCACTACTGCAAGGAAATGTGGATAGGCTTAGAAGGAAAGTCTGGAGGCAAGAAAGACTATATCGAAGGGGTAGAAAATTTAGCCCACAGGATCTCCAGGGTTTCCAGAGGGACTTGCCCACTGTTAATGAGTTAGTGGTAGGGCCACAATTGGAACTTATGGCTTTGGATTCTTAAGTATAGTGGTCCCAGTGACCTCAGTACTATGTGTTTTTTTACATATCTCGTCTGATTTTCACAACAATAGCATGGGGCCCTGGAAAGAAGACACATTGGAATCCAGGAGGTTAGATTCAAGGCCTGCATGGGCTATTTATGAGCAGTGGCACATCTATCAAATTTTGTCACCTTAGTAGGCCTCAGTTTCCCTCTTTGTAAAATGTAATGGGGTTGAATTTGATGATCCCTAGGGCCCTTTTCAGCTGTATGATTTTTTTAAGTCCTGCAACATAGGCAGGGCAAATATTCTTATTTCCATTTTACCAGTGCCTCTTAAGCGTCCTAGAAGTTGTGACTTGCCCAGAGTTACACAACCAGTGGCTCTGGGATTTGAGCCTAAATCTTCTAACTCCTACTCTAGTTTCTCTTTATACTTTTAGCATTTACTTCCCAGGGTTGTTAGGAGCATAAAATGAGAAAATATATGTAAAGTGCTTTGTAAACCTCAAAGATATATATAGATATACACACATATATAAATGCATATGTTTTATATATGTATATATATGCGCAAAGAGATATATCCTTATATGTGTATATACACATGTACATAAAGGTATACATGTATGTGCATGTGTATATATATACACATATGTCTGTGTGTATGTGTGTGTGTATATGTGTGTGTATATATATATATATATATATTCATTAGATTATAAGCTCCTTGAGGACAGGGATATCTTTTGCCCCTTTTTGCTTAGCACAGTGTCTGGCACATAATAAGTGCTAATAAATGTTTATTGCTTGATTTGTTGACATATGTTTGTATATAGG